TTAATTTGTTTGTATTTACAGATTATTTTTTAAATTCCTGTGTTTCATCGTAAATCTTTGACTTCCTGTCGCATAGTATTCTTTAATAACACCCCACTTATCCCTCTTGAAGAAATGCGATACTTAGAACTCCACCTGGACAAACGTCTCACTTGGAATCCTCATACAAGACTGAAACGACAAGAAACTGCTTGACGTTTCTACTTACTCCAACACTTAATAGACAAACGCTCTAAACTTTCAATTAATTACAAAAGACTAATATACATGATTATAATAAGGCCTATTTGGACTTACGGAGTTGAGCTATTGGGCTCCACTAAACCATCAAATTCCTCTCGTATCCAATCCTTACAATCCAAAATCATTTTCGTAAAATCCTCAATGCACCTTACTATGTCACAAATAAAATAATCCTTAATGTTCCATATGCTTCCGATTTGGCGCAATCCAGATACCTATCCTTCCATAATAAACTTCATAATCATTCGAATCCTCTCGTTTCTAACCTTACTTCTTCTTCGATTCCTGATAACCCTCCGAGGCGTCTGAAAAGAAGATGGCCTCGTGATCTCGTTATATATGTTATTGGAGTGCTGCCAGTGGTTAGTTTCTCAAAAAGCGTTTTTATGTGATTTTATTCCTGTGTGCACATTTACTTGATGTATTTATATTGTAATATAGTTGTAAATATCTTGAATAAATAGATTTAAAAAAAAAATTCGTGTGTATGTTGGCATTTTTATTAAGTGAGCCTATTGTTTATGTTTTTAACAGTAAACATATTTTTTTTTCTTAACTGACTTGAAAATTTAAAAACAACTTTAATTAGGTGCTTATGAGTAAAGCAATCAGTATCTCTGATGGTTGAGTTTATTGTTAATAACGTTGTAAACCAACGACTTCCTGTCCTACAGTTTTCTTTAACAATACTCCACTTATCCCTGTTGAGCAAATCCGATACCTAGGACTCCACCTGGACAAACGACTAACTTAAAATCCTCATACTAGACTGAAACGACAAGAAACCGCTCGACGTTTCCGATTACTTCAGCACTTACTAGACAAACGCTCTAAACTAACCATTAATTACAAAAGACTTAATTTCTTACTTAAAAACTTTAATTTCTGTACTTTTTTGTTATTCTGAAGGAACTTTGTCCCAGAATAAAATTATTTTTCTATTCTATTCTATTCTATACTTGACTATAATAAGACCTATTTGGACTTACGGAGTTGAGCTATGGGGCTCCACTAAACCATCGAATTCCTCTCGCATCCAATCCTTACAATCCAAAATCCTTCGTAAAGTCCTCAATGCTCCTTACTTTGTCACTAATAAAATTTTCCATAAAGATCTTAATATTCCTTATGTTTCAGATCTGGCCCAATCCAGATACTTTAATTAATTATCCTTCCATAATAAACTTCAGAATCATCCCAACCCTCTCGTTTCTAACCTTGCTTCCTCTTCAATTCCTGATAACCCTCCGAGGCGTCTGAAAAGAAGATGGCCTCGTGATCTCCTGATGTAGTCATATCATTAGAGTGCTACCATTAGGTAGTTACTCAGCAAATGTATTCATGTCATTATATCAATTATGTCCAAATTTACTTGATGTATTTATGTAATACAGTTGTAAATGTCATAAAGAAATTAAAAAAAAAATTGTTAATATATATATGAGTTTATTGAAATTGATTGTAAATTATTAGATACATAAGTTTTAGAAATTGAAAGGTAAACAATTTTAATGCCAATGATTGCCTTGAGTAAGCAAATAAAAGGAGATAACTTTTTATTATATATTATATGCACCGTTAACGCCGAGACGTGAATACACTCGCTGAGCCGTGAACCTACCCGAGCATGAAAAGTGAGGAAAGATAATTCTTAAAACAGTTTATCAGTTGTCTATTTGAGATAAAATCATAAATGGGATTAAATAATTAATCTGTATATTAATACGGATGAACTTTTTTTTATAATTTTAATAACTCCAGCTACAGAGGTAGATAGTAAGGAAAATAAAAAGTTCATATGTTGCCGTTTGTGCTGGAAATAAATAAATCAGAAAAAATTAAATTCTATAGTTTTTCTCCTTATTTTAACTTCTACTTATTTTCTAATTCTCCAATCCTTCTTTCTTAATCGATTTTTCTTTGTTTCCTTAATAATTACAAAGAAGAAAGAGGATTCAGAAGAATTATTCTTCTGACTCCTCTTTCTTCCCTAAAGACATTGGCGTACCACAAGGTAGCGTTTTAAGTTCAGTTCTCTATTCTCTATTCATCTCTGATATCCCTGAGAACCCTAGCAACGCCATCTATTACTTCGCTGCCGACACTGCTATTCTTTCTTCAACAAAAACCCTACTATCGCATCAATTGCCCTTCGAAACCACCTCTGTGATCTTCAAAAACGGTAGAGAAATGGAAAATCAAAACAAATAGTAGTAAATCCATCCACGTGACTTTCTCTCTTAGCAAAGCCTAATGTCCAACACCATTAACGATTAACAACAACTTAGTGCCTTAAAAAAATATGTACGGTACTTCGGACTCTTCTTAGACAAATTAGACAGACTTACCTGGAACATACATGCTAGATTAAAAAGACAGTAACTGACTAGTCGATATAACCAATTCTCTCACGTCTTCTGGACTACAGATCCTCATTTCAGTTAAGAAACAAGCGACTGATCTACAACACCCTACTGAGACCAATTTGGACGTTCGGAGGAGAACTTTGGAGTTCGGCAAAACATGCACACAATAAAAAAATCTACGAAAAATTGTTACCGCATCTTGGTACATTTCAAATAACACCATATATAACGACTTAAACATCCCAACAATAAAATCGTATGTCCACGACAAATATACTTCATTTCATTCTTCAACTCTATATCACTTAAATCCATTAGTCCTTTCTGTTCCCTGTTACCTGATGGACGCAGACTAAAAAGAAAATGACCAAGGGCACGGGCGGATCTACGGGGGGGGGGGCTTTCGGGCTGAAAATCCCCCCCAAAATGCTAAAATAAAACCATGTTTTATCGAAAAAAATATTTAAAAAGTATCTCTTAAAGTATTATTGTTCGAGTAATTACAGTTAAAAGGGCTTTAGGAATCACTTAAACACCATTTCATACAGGTAGTTAGCTTCTTTCTTTTTTTCCAAAGTAATTATCGTAATTTTTTGAAAAAAAAAACTTTCGGGCTGAAGCCCCCCCCCCCAAAATTACATCCTGGATCCGCTAGTGACCAAGGGACCTACTCCTACAATAATATAATTAAGTTAAATATTGTTATACTGGTCAAACTTCGTTTTTATTTATTTTATTCTTAGGAACTGCGCAGTAGAGCATCTAGCTAACTTGATGTTACCTGGTCAGTTTCTATGTAATTTGCTTGATAATGACCTTGATTAAATGAGTTATTGGCAAAGAAACAAATATTTGCGCAGTTTTATTTTTAATCTGCGTTGAGCAGGTAACATGGAGGAAGAACCGAATAGATGGAATGGATTGAGATAATTTTGGTTTGAAAAGTGAAATTTTGTATCTTTGTCGTGGATGCAAGATAATTGAAAGAGGAAGACTATTGAAATGTTTAAGTCGTTGTGTATTGTGTAATTTGAAATATGCCATGATATGTTGTTTATGTGGGTATGTTTTGCTGAACCCTTAAGTTCTGCACCGTGTGTCCAATTTGGTCTCTATACAGTGATCCAGATTAGTCGCTTCTTTCGTAGGTTAAGTGAGGATCTGTAGTCCTGAAGATGTGAGGGTTGGTTATATTGCCTTGTCAGTTGTCTTTAGAATTTCCTATGTATGTTCCAAGTAAGTATTTTTTGGGAGTAGAGCTCAAAGCACACACTGTTTTTTTTTGTAGGCACTTGGTTACTGTCGATGGTTAAGGTGGAAATGAAGCTTTCCGTGGGGATAAATTGACTTGATTTCATTGAGAAGCATTAATATTTAATTTTCAATTTATAAAACGACTTTTCAATGTCAAACAAATATATATAATTAAGAGGTATTTTTGTCTAAACCATAATCACGTATTTATTAAATATAATAGTATTAACTAATAAATAAATATATAATAATAACAACTCTATCGTTATCAAGTAAAAATTATATATGATTTCATATAAATATAGATGTATATTTATACGAGGAGCAGGGTAGCTCATTGGGTAAGGCACTGTCTTCTTAAGCTCAAGAACCCGGGATCTATTCCGGCAAATGGCAAGTAATTATTTATGCTGTTGTTAGTCCTGAGTCTACCCTTTGGTCGGGAGACCCTCTTGGGACACATCCAGGCTCTATAAAGTGAGTAACCATAATTAAATAATTAATCAAGGGGAAAAACCTAGCGGGTGAGTTTGATCTAGGCTCAATCACCTCTTAGCACAACTCCTGTGTGAGTGTATATCCATAAATATATACGGAGTATGTTTTTAAAAATTTACCCGAAACGACTTTGGTCTAGTTTTTTAAATCTTTAGTGGATAAAATCTTCTCAGATTTTTTTCTGAAAGTGCTTGAATTTTCAATATAGTTACCTATTATTTTTAATAAATTAAGAATAATATTATGGGACCATTTACTATGTTATGCCGGTTAAAAGGGATTTCTGCGTGTCTTATTTCAATTTTGACTCACTATCTTAAATAAATTTTAAATTTTACAATACTTGTAGTCTTACAATACTTATTATGTAGAAGGGAGCATACGATGTGCTTTCCAATGACTTCTCTGCTCTGATTAGTAACGTTGAAGAAAGTCGTTTCTAACCGGCGTCTATAAACCTAATAGAACTGCAAAAGTTACCTAATTTCTAATGATATATGTTTTTGAAATTAAGCTTGTTTTAAAATGAAATAACTATTTTTTAAAAATTGTATTTGCCTATACTTCTCACTTAAAATATCAACTATACGCGAGCGATTGTGCTTGCTATGTACCTACTTATTTCGTACGTTGTTGCAGGGTTGCCAGCCTTTCGAGATCCCTCCTTGCGAAAGAGTGTCCTCCAACTCTTCAAGACCTAATTGCAATTCTCTGCCTACGCCGCAAACGCCGCAGTGCCAAACCACTTGTACCAACCCCGCGTACAGCGTTCCTTATACTTCAGATCACAGAAAGGGTAACTATTGTTCGGATAAATTCAGAAATACATAACGTACAAAAAAAAAAAAAATAAATAACACTTTTTAGCGGAAGATGTTAGTAGTGGTATCAGAAGATATTTTTTTTTTAAAATATGCCGGGAAGGTGGCTATGCGTTATTAATTTTTTTTTAACAATTGGATTATTATTAATCCATAATTGTTTATATTGATTAAGTTAATCTGATTATTTTTGTTGGTTAATATTTTTATTCTAGTTTTTTTTTTTTTTTTTTTTTTTTTTTTTTTTTTTTTTTTTTTTTTTTTTTTTTTTTTTTTACAAGAATATATCTATAAATATTTGTTCATACACTTGGGTGCTGGCACTTGAAAAACATTGGGGGGAGAAGAGGCTAAGGTGTAACATGGTTCAACGCTTGGGAGGGAAAAGAACGCCATACATAAAGGAGTAGCTCAGTAACCAGTATAATATTACTAGTATTATAATATAGAATAGAATAGAATAGAAAATTAAACTTTATTCTGGGACTAAGTCCCTTTAGAAAAACTAACTTCTAAAAATTTTAATATTATATACATTATTTAAAAAGTATTTAACCAGTAAAACATAAAAAATAAAATATATATACAAATGAACATAAAATCTTCTCAAAATTACTTAATTGTGATGAAAAAAAAAAAAAAAGAAGAGAAATTATATATTTATATATACATAACACAATTTATAAACAATAGGCTATCTAATTGAAAACTAACTTAATACAAAATGAAATAATATCTACAGTGGTTTATATAATAATATGCAGACACTAAGATAAAATAAAATCTTACGATACTTGTGGTGTAACGGAAAAAAAAATAAAAAAAAAATAACTAAAAGGAACTATTTATACGTACATTCTCATATTGGCACACAAAGACAAAGATATAAAATATGAACATATATACCCGAAAAAAAAGCACCACCTGAGGAGAAGAGAAAAATAAATAAATAGTAAAAATAATAGTCAAACTAGGTGACAAAGATCATTGCTGTTTTATGCTAAAACTTAAACAGTAGGCACCACTATTTACTTCACGCAAATTCAGTTCATAAAATGAAATTTATGGTGGTAAATCTTCTGTTTGGGATGTAAGGAGATATTGGAAAAGGAGGTATTTCAAAGTTGACAGGAAAGAGGCATGACGGATGTTATGCGGCAAAGAATTCCAATAGGAGACGGAGCGGGCTAAGAAGGAACGTTCATAGGTTTTTGTCCTGTGGAAAGGAAAATAGAGGTCAGAAACACGGGATCTCGTTTTTATTGAGTGGACTAAGGGTTCAGGCTGGAGGAGACAACAGATATAGGAAGGGTGCTGGGAGTTGATCGTTTGGTATAAGAAATTTCCAAGGAAGTATAGGCGGCGGGAAGATGGGAAGAGCCACTTTGACTCGGCATATAGGTGGGACACATGAGACCATCCCGAAGTGCCGAAGACGAATCTTAAAAAACAGTTCATGATTCTCTTCAGTCTGTCCTCAAGCTCCAACGAGAGGCCACCGATACAAGATTATCAGTACAAATATGTTAACATACTTATATTTGTTTATCTACTATTTAATATATTTTCTTGTGCTTTGTTATTTCAGGGTTAGATTATTATGTTACTTAAATATTTCTTGATTTTCTTTTAATGACAGACAACAAATATCACTTTTCTATTGATTTTTATTATTTTTTGGGGAATAAATGTCTCAGAATAGAATTTATTTTTCTTTCTTTCTATAATATTTATTTATTTTATTTATATTTCTATAATATCTATTATTTTCCAACGTATTTTTTTTTTGTCGGTGCGCCATCTCTTCGTTTAATCTTCTTCAAATCCAATGAGCCATCATTTTGAAGATTATCTTTTCTTTAAAGTATGAAAAATAAGCATATCCTCCATAAAAAATTTATGAAGAAAAAGAAGTTTTATTTACGCCTAGCACACAAAGTCTATAATTTACGGTGGCATGTATTGTAGTGTAACGCTACTATTAGTGCATAAGATCGAATTTAACAATTTTATATGTTTATTCTCTTTGCGCTAAAGGTAACATCTTGTAATCTGCAACGGCTGTAAATAGTTTGATAAATATAAAAATAGCAGAGGAAAATAGAATATGAAATTATGCTAATAAATCGTAAAGAAATAATCGTTTTTTTTAACAGCATAGTAATGCTCTTCTATAAAAAAGCTCAATTTTTACATACGTTCTTTTACACTAACAGTAGCGATAATTGAGTTTAGAAAGGTTCCCGAATTCCTTACAAAACAAAAATTCATCATCCAAATCGGACCATTTTTAGCTAAGATTGTCGAATTAGCTATTTATTTTCCAAATTTTGTACACGCCTTTTGGTTTGGTTTGGAACTGTTGTAATCGACTAAGATTGAAAAAAACAAAACAATTCCTCTCTCTTATGTAGCATTGAATTTTTTATTTCCATAAAATTTTCATTTGTTCACTGAGCCATGTACTTCTCTTGCTACACAAACCGATTATTTCCTAAAGATTTATTAGTACAATTTTATATTTCATTTCTGTTTGCTATATCCCCATTTAGCAGACTACTTATAGCAATTGGAGACTAGAAGATGTCACCTTTAGCGCAAACAGAATAAACATGTAAAATTGTTACATAAGACCTTTTGCACATAACAGTAACGAAATGTAATAGTCAGGAACCTATTAGGTCTGCTTAAAATTACATTCATGTATTTTCAAATTTCTTTAATAATTTTGAATTTCCTGAATATACTTGATATTCAGAACAATACTGTAGATGGAGTTTTCTCCAGTACCATTCAGGTAGATGAGATAAAAATTGGAACAATTCGTGTTTCCTTTAAACGATACATGATACAATTGTTTTATCTCTTCAGCTAATTCTAGTTATTTTCTCCTTTTTCCCCCTTCTGCCTTCTGCAGGTACTAGCGAATCCAGAATTTAATTTTTTTTTGGGGGGGGGGGCTTCAGCCTTAAAGCTTTTTTTTTTCATAAAAATAACGATAATTAATTTGGAAAAAAAGAAAGAAACTAACTGCCTACATGAAATGGCGTTTAAGTGATTCATAAAGTCCTTTAAAATGTAATTACACGAACAATAATATTTTAAGAGATCATTTTTTACCCATAAAACATGATTATATTTTACCATTTTGGGGAGAGGGCTTCAGTCCCCTCCCCGTAGATCCGCCCATGTGTGCAGGCAAATCAGAAGGAATGCCAATCTCTATGATCAATGCAGATTGCTTGACTGCTTATTATATCTACATTAATATTATTATTATTATAGCTATACTGTTTATTGAAATTTGTGTTATTTTAAGTAAATTACTGTCAAATATTGGAGGGTCAATCCCGTCCCACTAGATCCCGTACTTCTGACCTCTACCCACCTCCTCACCGATATGCTGCGTTTGACAAATCCTTTATAATTCAAGCCGTCTCCATCTGGAATACCATCCCTCCCAATAATATGGGATAATATGGGCAATTAGTTTCCTCGTTTAAATCTCTTCTTTTTAAGTACCTACTTCTTTCCCAACCCGACTGGTCAAGAAAAGTAGATAAGAGAACTTTTTAAGTTCCCCCGGAAATGATTTTGTTTATTTATATTATTTTATTTTCATATGTTTGTATTATATATATATGTGTGTGTATATTTTTAGTGTTTTTGTTTTAATTTTCTTCCAATAATTTAATTTTAATGAGAATTGTAAATATTTAATTTAATTTTATGGCCACACAGACATTTTCTTTGCATCTATAATTTGTCCTAAAGGGACAACAGTCCCAGGATAATAAAAATCTATTTTCATTTCATTTCATAATTATAAAATTTAATCTGAATGTGGATTAATAACCTCGAAACGAAAATAATGACGTTTAATCAATCATAGTTGGCCCATAAGCTTATATTATTCTAGAAAATAATAAAGCTAGGTGCTTAATTATTTGACTTATTATTTTTCGTACTATATATTAAAACAATTAACGAACATTAAATAATACCATTTATTTTTATCCAGCCCAGAACGTATATCAGCTGCCGAACAACGCCTCCGAAATCCAGAAAGAGATCCTGATCCACGGACCTGTTGAGGCTGCTTTCACTACCTATTCAGACTTTCTTACTTATCAGTCAGGTGAGACGCCGAGCAAGTGCCCCAATGATATAATGCGGTCCTAACCTAAATTATTAATCTTTTGGTTATCTTTCAGGTATCTATCGCCACTTGACAAAAAATGCCATCAGCAGGCACGCCGTCAAGATCATCGGATGGGGCACGGAAGGAGGCGTACCCTTCTGGTTGATCGCCAACTCCTTCGATAGCGACTGGGGCGAGGGCGGGTTCTTCAGGATGTTGAGGGGCTCCAACGAGTGCGGCATCGAAGACGACGTTACGGCCGGGCTGCCCCTTGTTTAGTTTATAATATTTTATTGAAGGGAGTTAGTCGACTGTTCAACATACCATGAGTGATAAGTAGTCAGGACGCAGTCATCCTAAAGGTATTTTATTAGTGCCGACGTTTCAACCCTAGCATGTGAGTCATCATCAGGACTGAAAATTGTTTAGTACAATCAGAGATATAATATTATAAGATAGATAACGGTTAATAATGAAAAAATAATGATGGATAACAAATGAATAGACAATTGAAATATGTTATAAATTATCCAAATAAAAGATGTAGAGATGGTTGACCGTGATATAATATGAGAAAGAGTTGGTCGGGGGGTGCGGACAAGTAAATACTAAATTTGACTACAATTTTTTAAAAATTTAGTATTTATTTGACCGCACCCCCGAACCAACTCCTATTATACAAATAAAAAGTATTTATATAATTTATTACATATTTCATTTGTCTATTCATGTATCATCTATCACTATTTTGTCAATTACTAACTATCATACGCCTTATAATATTATATCTCTGACTGTATTATACAATTTCCCGCCCTGATGATTGGGTTGAAACGTCGGCACAAATAAAAAACGCTGCAAATTATTTCACAATGGTTTATTATTTCCAAACAATTATACATCTAAAAGTAACATTACCTTCCTAGTTACAAAGACAAATAAATAAAAGATGATTCCAATTATTGTATTAAACTTTTTTTTTTAATTATTTGTAATATGCTAAAAAAAATAGCAGTACTTCAGTACCACATTCAAAATTTAAAAACCAAACAAAGGATATAACATTTGGAGTAGAACATATAAAAAAGATCTGAAGACCATATCTTTGCTCCTGATTGTCCGATTTTAACGATTTCTTTTTGTATTTTAGGAAATTCCTTAAACATTTAAAAACCCAACTTTTAGAAAAATTGTATACCTTTTGAGTTATTCAGAATTTAATTTTACCATCTCTCGTAACTTTTTTTCCAGCTTCTTTTCGTTGAGGTGTGTTATATAGATAAATTTAAAGGGCGTCGAGAAAATGCCTTTAGCGAAGTTTCATTGAAATCGTTACATTTCTTTAGGCGCTACAATCTATAGGAACGCAAGATTTTCGTCCGTCATTTTGAAATTAAATGGCGGATAGTAATGTCTATGAAGGAGGATCATCCTCGGTTGACCAATGATTTTATATCTAAATTAAATTTAAAAAATCGGTCCAGTAGTTTCAGAGAAAATGCGCGGACGGCGGACGGCGTACGGACAAAAAATTTTTTATTCGTTTTTCGAATTCTACGCATCCTGACACGTGAAACCTCAAATTTTGAGATAGGGTTAAGTTTTTGAACTTTTTGGTCGATCACAATGGTTGATTATCGAAAATAATAAACCAAAAACCTTTATAATGACTGCGTCCTTACTATTTATCACCTATTTATAATATTTTGTAAGAGTAACTCACCATTTCTTTTTGTTATTTTTGTTTTGTATGAGGGAGGGAGGAATGAGTGATGTAAACAGAATGTACAAGATTCACTGATAACATTTATTTTTATGGAAATTGATCATTTTTTTTTTATGATTCTTCTCGCCAATTAAACGTTATTTATTTACTATTATTTTTATAACTATATGATATGATATTAAAATAAATAGAGACCCGATTTCCTGAAGAATGAAGCAACTGTGAATGAAGCGACATAGGTCATTTAAGCAAGAAACGATTACATCTCAACACTTTAGCGATATTTACCTGACGCTGTTTGAAGATATTGATATGAAATGAAATGAAAATGAAAAGAAAAAATAACTATATTCTGGAACTAAAGTCCCCTAAGAATAATAATATCATGGTATAAAACATTGGTCCATTAGACGGGGTTGACAAAATACAAAGAGGTCATTTGAGTGTTAATTTCAATTGCTATCGCAATCATACTTCAACAACCATAGTAAACACTGTATACATAGAAAAAGAAAATAAACAAATGAAATAAAATTAAATGAATGTAAATAATCTCTTAAAAGTTTAATTGTTAATGACCTTTTTGGCGGGAATTGTAAATATTCCTTCCGCTTTTATCGGGGAACTAGGTTATTTACACTCGTGAATATTAAGACAAAACCCCGGCACTGGATATAGACTTTTTGAGGATGTTTAACTGTTGTTGGGAATTCGGGAATCTAATACCTTTTGTGACACTGAGTGAAAAAAAAACAATATATATATATATATATATATATATATATATATATATATATATATATATGAAATGTGGGACTTAGTAATGGATTGACTCACCTGGTTTGTTATTCTTCAATCGTGAGGCACATAGAACAACTAAATAAATAAATGACTTTTCACCCCTGTATAACAAAATAATTTATTTCTACAACTGTAATAAATTGACTCTATTAATGTGTTATAACTAAAAACTCGATCTTCTAAATCTTGTAGTCTAAATATCGTGTAACTTCACATTCCTATATATTCCTTCTCATTCCCTCACACAATGTCATTTAAAAGGGTAAATACTGGAGGCTATCTACTACATGAAACTAGTCGATTAAGTATAAGTGAGAAGTTATAATTACAGAAATCGATAAATATTACATAGGTACGGAAGTTTGAAAATAGGTTGAAAAATAGGTAGGTGGTGGAATAATAATTGTTTAAAGGAATTTATGGATGAGGATTGAGGATGGAGGGTGATAGGTAAAGTTATTGACACAAGGAAGAAAAGTAACAAATGAGTATTATAATAGAAGGGTAAAGAACCTTCACTGAACTGCTCAAATTATTATTGGTGATAATTCTCTGTGATGGATAAAAAAATAAAAAATAAAATAAATAAACAAACATTACATCACCTATGTAATTGTTACGGGGTTTATGAGAGCTTGTAGTAAGTGCATTGTCTACTAGCATTTTCCCATCACCTACATTCTCTAGCCGTGTGATTCAATTATGCAGTAGTTCACTAACCTGGTTCTGAACATCATCTATAAAGATGTTCTCTTGGTTGAAACAGTCCACGATTTCGGTTCTCTCCTTACATTATAAAATTGTATGGTTTATTAATTGTTATAATTGTTTATTAATATTAGGATAGGGGAATAAAAAATAAGTATGTGTTGGTCGATAGTTGATTGTTGTATGTAAATCTGTGAGATGTATGTCCATTCGGGTTTTAGTAGATGTGCATATGTATTTAGTTTCTATGTCGTTTTCAGTTTAGGTGATTTGGAAAAAAAGTGAGTAATATACTTTCAGTCGTTTGTTTAAGGCCTTTCTTTTCATTTTGATCTTTGGGGCTCCAGGATACCTTACCATCGAATGCACCTTACAAGGTAAGGTACGATGTCGTTTGAGGAATTCGGTTGTAGCCGATAAAAACTGGTATAAGTGTCTAAGAACTCAACCTATTTCATATTAATCATAAAGCAACCAGATAACTAAGGGACAATATTTCGGAAACTTGATTTAACGTTGCATAATTTGATTTTTTTTATTACCCAACTAAACTATATCCATGTTTATATTATTGTAAACATTAGTGGAAAGTAGTAATGTCTTTAAGGTGACTTGCATCATTTTTATCCACATCCTCAGAACAATCCTAGTGTCTCCAAATTCAACAAGCCACCATCTGAGGTGTGGGGCTCTGGCTGGTCCCTTCGGATCTGGAAGAGCTCCACTCGCTAAGTGATCGGTTGGGCTCGGATTGGTGGATAACCATCGACTCCAATTGAAACCCAAATAAACCAGGTATTGATGACCACGTTGTTTTACCCTTTATTATACTCAAACAAAGTTATTTTTTATTTTTACTTACGTTTGAATAATTAGTGCTTGATCTACTTCCGACAAAACATCTTTTGGTTTATTATTTTCAATAATCAACCATTGTGATCGACCGAAAAATTCAAAAACTTAACCCCCTCTCAAAATTTGAGGTTTCACGTTTCAGGACGCGTAGAAATCGAAAAACGGATAAAAAATTTTTTGTCCGTCCGCCGTCCGCCGTCCGAGCATTTTCTTCGAAACTACTGGACCGATTTTTTTCAAATTTTCATATAAAATCAGAGGTCACCCGAGGATGATCCTCCTTCATCGACATTATTCTCCGCCTTTAACTTTCAAAATGGCGGCAGAAAAACCTTCGTTGCTATAGACTGTAGTTTCTAAACTAATGTACAGATTTCAATGAAACTTCGCTAAAGTCATTTTCTCGACGCCCTTTAAATTTATCTATATAACATAATTCAATAAAAATAATCTGGAAAAAAAGTTACGAGGGATGGTAGAGTTAAATTCCGAATAACTCGAAAAGTTTTTACTTTTTTGTTGATGTATTACTTTTTTAAAAGTTTACGAAATTTCCTTAAAAAAAAAAAAAATCGTTAAAATCGGACAATTAGGAGCAAAGATATGGTCTCCCGTTTTTTTAATATGTTCTACTCCATATGTAATATCCTTGGTTTGGTTTTTAAATTTTGAATGTGTTACTGAACTAATGCTAATTTTTTTTTAGCATATTACTAATGATTAAAGAAAAACAGTTTACTACAATTTGTTTGCTCAGAATCGAAAATTTCACTCGCGTTTTACGTTTCAGACATCAAGGATAAAATTTGGTTTGGTGTCTGTCTGTCTGTAGTCAAATCGATGTGACGGGCATATCACATAGTATCGTTCATCCTATCTTCATGAAATTTTCAGGGATTATGCTGATTGGTGGCTAGATGGTCCCTTATCAAGTCCATCCAACATTTCCTCTTACGCACGCGCAAACGTATATTTTTAGATATGCCAATATTTCAGAAAGGGCTCGTTCGATTTGGCTTAAAGTTGGATAAAAGGTAGACTTTAGTGAAAAAATAACGTAGTGTGTTTATTGAATTCTGTCCACCGCTTTCTCTTATATATGCACTACTAGTCCACTGTCCGCCGTCAGCGCAATTTTTCAGAAACTACTAGACCGATTTTTTTCGAATTTGGATATAAAATCAGAGGTCACCAGAGGATGATACTCTTTCAACGACATTACTATTCGCCTTCTTTTTTCAACATGGCGGCCGAAAAACCTGCGTTTTTTTTTAGTTTAAAAGTTTACGGAATTTCCTAAAAAAAAAATTCGTTAAAATCGGACAATTAGGAGCAAAGACTTGGTCTCTAGTTTTTTTTTTTAGATGTGTTATTGCAAAAGGTTTATCTTTTGTTTTGATTTTTGAATGTGTTACTGAAGTAATGCTATTTTTTAGCATATTACTAATGATTTAAAAAAAGTTTAGTCCAATAATTGGAATCACCTTTTATTTATTTTTCTTTATAAC